AATATTCTACACACAAACCAATAAAATTACTTTATTTTTCAATCACACATTCTCCAAAAAATACTATTCGAAACAAGATTTCTTCTCCCAAAATGGGAGACAAACAAGCACTTATATACGAATGTAGTTTATTATTGGAAAAATTATTCACTAATTATCATTCCTTATATATTTTTGGGTATTGCTAAACTGGGTCATTTTCTCATGGCCCAAATTTCTGGATCAAATATGGTTACCACGGGCTACACCAGGGCAGTCCTTTTTTTCCCCCCAACTTAAGACTCTTCATTTATCAAAATTTTATCAAACCATTTTCAAAGTAAATTGATACCATTCTCTCTCGCGAGTCTACTCTTCGACATCAAATTAGCAAAAGAGTAATGTTATTCATCATCACTAGTGTTAAGTATTAGTCTAAGTGACAATTAAATGATAAATTCAGTTAAATGTAATGTCATATAATTCATTTAATTGAATTTATAAAGTGTAGTAATGTAGACTCGTGTTCTAGTATCATAGGTGCTAAATTCAACCATGTGATGATGAGATCATTCGAGCATTGAAAACTTATTATAGACGTCGATTTTATGCTAGCACCTTGGGAGTTATGAGGCACAAGCAACAAATCCCAAAAAAAAAAAAAATAGTAATTCTGAATACTATTAACTTAGTAATATGGCTTGGACCATTGATGTCATGATAATAACCATTGCAAATTGTTTGCGGTATTGTAAGATTTGCTCAGTTGAAAGCACGGTTTCTCGAACACAAGGTGGTGACGATGACGGCACCGAGAATTATATCAAGTCATTTCTAGGCTAAATTATAGAAAGCCTATGAATGTGGCACTTCTTTTGAACTATCCAAGGGAAAATGATGCAATAATGGAAAACATGGCTAATGAAGAGATTATTCTAGGTGTAATGGATACAGCTAATGATGAAGATCATGATCCTAATGCCATTTGTATTTTACCGTTGTTTCTTATAAAGAGGTCTTTCGAGCAGTAGTGATCTTAAACCATGCTACAAACTGAAAAAATATACCAAATGTGGTGTATGCCCTCCACAAGATCAAAGATAAGATTGAGTTCGATTTAAGCAAACTAGAAAAGCAAACAACTAGATATGCATATTTTGAGAAGGATAAGAATTAAGAAAAGAAGTTGTCATGTTTTTTCTTTTACAAGAATAAGTTATGAAGTTGAGAATAAGATAATCAAAAGAATTCTTAATGTCATATAAATTTTTATGTCATTTTAATAAATTATTAAGTTATATATTCAATGGGACCTTAAAAAAAAAAATTCTCATGTATTTAGCAAGAATATTAATTTAGCACATTGGTCCAACTCAAGACTCAAAAATTAATTTAATATTTAAAAGCGATTGTTAATTTAACGAAGTTTTACTACATACTTTAAATTTTATTGTCAAAAGTTAGGCTTTATCCCTACCATATGTATCATGTTATTTCAAAATATTGTATACAATAATAGCAACAAGCTAGGCTTTATTTTTAATTAATCCCGAGTTTACGAGAATCAATTTTTGCTACTAACTATATCAACTGAAACATTTTAAGCAACATCCCATACTAATGTTGGATAAACCTCTATTCCGACTTATATGGTGAGACCACTCCATTCTACTATTGAAATAGAATTTATTTGTTTACACAAGACGTGCTCCAACCAGGGGCAAATGCAGATCATACCCCATGTAATTTTGAATCCGAAAATTTACATGGGATATGACTTTTTCAGATGTAAAATTTCGAAATTTTTTATGTCATATTCCATATAAAATTTCCTAATGATATGATGAAAATTACATTAAGAAATTTGTATTGCAAAAATAATACATGTTAATGAAATAATTGAATTTTTTTAAAGAAAATGTTAAACATTTTTCTTTAAAACTCAATTTTAACGCATTTTTAACTATTTTCGATATTTGTTTTGATTATTTGATATGCCTATAATGTAGTTCTCGAAATAAGTTTTGAAATGACATAAGCAATTTGTAAATTCGATTAGCGTACGATCGTCAAATAATTTTTAAAGTTAGTATGTTATCGAAATTTTCGAAATACTAATTTTGAACGGCTTACTTTGACAAGTCGTAGCATTTACTTCGATTGATCGTTTTGTATGCCATTAGCGACGTAGAAAACTACAGCGTGAACAATTTGAAATTATATTTAGAATGCAATATTTCGCCTTTATTTGATGGAGAGTTAAGATTTTGTTAAAAGACAAGAAAAAAATTAAAATTTATTGTAATTTTGTCCCTATTTGATGGAGATTAAAATCAAATTTTTAGTAAATTTTGATAAAAATTAAATAGTTATTGATTCTATGAAATATGTTATTAAAATTAATTGTTAATTTTGATTTAGATTGAAATTTATATTTCAATCGATACCAAATATGACTTTATTAAGAAAAAAATTCAAAATTTGGGGGGCACGTGCCCCCCAGGACCCCCCCCCCCCCACGGGTCCGCCCCTGAATATGAATATATACATTCAAAGTCTGGCAATACAAAAACTCATTATGTATTTTAATTGTGACTTCAATAATTTTATCCTGATAAAAAATAAATATTGGTTTTATCTCTGAAAATGAGTAACATTTTCTATACATGAAGCCGTAAACTTTTCTGTCTCACAAATAAACTTAACATTTATTAACGGACGAATAATATCAGGGACAGAAGCAGACAATTAAAGTTAGGGACACAATCGAACTTACAAATAAGTTGGGAGAAATTTTACACTCTAAAATTTACATCCAAAAAAAATCATACCCTATGTAATTTTGCATCTGAAAATTTACATGAAATATGACTTTTTCGGATGTAAAATTTTGAAAATTTTTGATGTGATATCCCATAAAAATTTCATAATAAAATAATGCAAATTATATTGAGAAATTTGTATTACAAAAATAATAAATGTTAATGAAATAATTAAATTTTTTTAAAAAATGCGAGTTAGACGCTTTTTTTAAGATGTACATTTGATACATTTTAATATAGTACGTCCTCAAAATGAGATTTCAGATGATCTAAACGATTTGTAGATTCGATTACCGTACGATCGTCGGAGAATTTTTAAAGTTAGCATATTATCGAAATTCTCAAATCACTAATTTTAAACCCCCTACTTTGACAAGTCGTAACATTTGCTACGATTGATTGTTTTGCACGCCGTTAACGACATAAAAACTAGACTGTGAGTACTTCGAAATGGTATTAAGAATACAATATTTCGATTTCGTTTTACATCTTATAATGATTTCGAAAATTGAAACAAAATATAGAAAATAAAAAAAAATAGCAAAGTTGGGGGCACCCCTAGGTCCGCCAGTGGCCCCAACTAATGAAGTTGTCCTTTCGCTAATTTATCTTCAATTGTACCACGTCTGATGTCTGTTCTTATTTCTGATCTTGTTCACTTTAGATGAGTATACATCAATGTTAACTTTCTCATTAACCACGGCAAACAATTGTCCTTTTAACCTTATAGAGATCTCCATGTTCATAAAATTATTGTAGTATTTCTCCATGAATCTGTCTTTTCTAATACGATACATCAACTTCAATTATTCCTTAACCAATAAATGTCGCTTCAATTTTTCCAAATTTTCTTCTCATAAACACTGTTTAAAACAGTGTTCTATAATACACGCATATGATTTGTATTTCTTATATGCACGCATATCCTCAATGCATTTTTCGAAATGTGACCAAGTCATTTCTTTGACCGTATATTCGCACTTAAACACCAAAATATGCGCGTATTTATGTTAAAAATTGTGTCCAAATTAGCCTAACAGAATCCAACCCATATTTATAACCTTAAAAAAAGAAAATTGAGCACAATAAACATCAAATTAGCTTAAATCACCCATATTCGTGAATTATATAAAGCAATTTGTAGGGTTTTGATGTTTATACATATCAAAAATCAAAACAAATTTTTCCTATAGTTGCAAATTATCTACGTCAAGCCCGAACCTCCTTCATCTTTGGTCTACCTATAGTTTCACTATTGAGATCTTCATCAAGTTGTAGAAACTTGAAGGTACATATTTCATTTTTGTATTGTTCACTTAATCAAAACTTTGAAGGTCCTTTTTCTCCTCTAATTTTTAATTTTAGGAAAAAGTATTTTTCAAATTTGTCCATCTTTAGGTTATAATGATTTTGAACGTTTATTCTTTATCAAATTTTATTCTTGCTTCAATTTACTAAAATCCAATGGAGCAAAATGATTCTTCCATAGCATCTAGTTCTATTTCTCAAGATAATGAGCTGAAAAAAGTTTTGATGATGTTCAATGAGAAATTGCAGTTTGTTGAAGATATTAGTAAACCTAATGATGTGAAATGTCAGTAATGCACAAAATTGAATTGTTGATGGTTGTGATGATGAGGATAATGACAATGATATCTTACCTCTATAAGAGGTAATATAAATTTTCGAGTTGAAATAAGGGAGTCGGATGAAAATTATTTTTTATTGAATGACACGGAAGATAATTAACTTGGATCAAGAAGAGTGGATTGAATTAGAATTCGATAAAGAGCTAGACATGACTTATGAATATTTTTTTTAGGTAGGCGTTCAAGTCTAATTTAATAATAGGTATTTATTGACAAGTAATTGCAGTATTACGATTTTGAGCAATATATTTTTGTTGAAAAATTGAAGAATATGTATAAGTTCAAATAATTATAGTATTGGAGATTTTGAGCAATTTTTTTTTAAAAAAAAAATGCAAGCCAACAAGATTCTTAAGAGCAATTGAAAAAATATGATTAATCATTATTTATTTGACTTCCTTAAAGAAATAATTCCATCCTTACAAGCATATAAAAAGAAAACCTGAAATTGAGAAACAGGAAACCTATTTTAGCAATTGCAAATGATACCAAAACACGACTGGAAAAACATGTCAAAAATCAAAATTAGGAAAGGAGGACACACTTTTCTCTATTTTCCTCCTTTAAGAAGAGTGAGGACTTCTTTCTCGGTTGGTAGAGCTGGGATGGCTCCCCTTTTTGCCATGGTGATTGCTCCACAGGCACATGCAAATTTAAGTACTTCCTTCAATCTAGGCTCGTCCTGGAAATCAAGAAAGCAATAGAATTAGTGTTCTGTAAATTCCAAACTTAATTAGAATGCATAATACATTAACAATATTATCGAGAAATTACCTGGATAATGCCATGATCGTTGACAATCTTACAGGGAAGAGCTCCGACAAAAGAATCGCCAGCTCCTGTTGTGTCCACCACCTTGACGTGGTAGCCATCAATTGATCCATGGAAATTCTATTTACCAGCAAGGGATAGAGCCAAAGTTAAGGTTTATAGAGATAATGTTAACATTTAGTACATTTTTATATTATCAGCTACATTTAGCACACATACCTATATGTAGTTTTCTGAGCACAAGGCTTGGTTTATTTGTCGATTCTCTCGATAATTCACTAGTTGAGTAAATACATAAATAACAGGGAAGATATTTTTGTTGTCCTACTGATTCTTCACATTTAAAAAAAAAAACATGGAATATAAAAAGGAATATGTGGGATAAAGAATTATTATAAGAAACAAAAAGGGAAAGGGAGAAAAAGAAAGAACTTATGATAAAAGTATATTGGTATCTAAGATAGAGGGATGGAAGTGATGGTGTGATCCAAAATGGACTACTGTAGGTAGATTTTTGAAGCTGTGAATGGTATATAATCCAAGTTGTGGTGGTTGTTTCTTAGTTTATTTAGTATAGTAACATCAGGGTCATAGTGTTTCTTTTCCTAGAACATTTTTTCTATCATTAGCATTTCAAGAAAACATACTATATATCATAAGAATCCAACCAACTTGTAAGAAATTGTTTTCTGAATGTAGTAATGAATGTCTCTTTAATGAATTATGGTAAAAACATTATTCTTCTGTATGAATCACATTTTTCAAATAGTGGAAAGCTATAAAGATGTGTTTAGGAGATGCACACCAAATGCAGCCAGACATATATATATATTAAGTAATGCTGCTAACTGCCAAATGATGACATTAAAATATATAGACAGAGACAGACTGTTTCTTCTTTTAAGAGCCTCACCTACCCATTATATATGGCATTAATGCTCTGAACAATAGAAATCGAGAATGTGAAACTGACAAGTACCTTAGTGTAATATCTGCATCCCTTTTCTCCAAGGGTCACCAAGAGAAGCTTCAATTTGTCGTGCCATAGGGACATCGCAGAAGCATCATCAATCTTGTTATTCCCTGTGAGAAACTCGAGTTCAACATCACTGATCTTGATCACATCTGCCTTGTCCCATATGTTCATGATCTGCTTCCGGGCCTCGTCAGCTGAGGGCCACAGTGGCAGCCGGAGGTTGGGGTCGTATGAGAGCAATGCCCCGGCATCCTTGGCCACCTGCATTGCTTTCAAATGTGCTGACCTGCATGGCTCCACGATCAAGCTTATCGATCCATAATGGAATATTTTAGCCTGTGGAAATTTATGTAACAAGTCATTTGAGTAAAAATGATTCATTGACCAATTTCATCAAAACTATACTAAAAGAATAAACGATAAATATATCTTGCAAGTTGCGATAATATCCGAGGTTGTTGTAGAAACAAAGAGAAATTATAGAACATAGTCTATGGGTTGGTAGTAAGAATTGAAAACTTGCATTTTACTCTCTCATTAGCCACCTAACGGCCCTATTATCTCTCTTTTTCAACTCTTTGACCGAAAAATTGTTCAATCTCAGTATTAACCTGAGAAATCTAGGTCCAAATTGAAATGGATCTGACTAGAAAATTCACCTGGGCCTAATTAATGAAGTCGGTGGGCCAACCGTGCCGCGGTTTTACATCACTGTGACAGGATGTGGTAGCGCATGGTAGAACCAGCACGCGTCTACAAGAACCATTTGCTTTATCCGCCTCTCAGAAGGTCAAAAATTTCTTCTTACTTTACTAGTATCAAATAGGGGTGGGCATGGGTTGGGTTGGGTCAGTTTTTGACTCAACCCAAACCTAACCCAATACGATCGGTTTGATTGAAATTCAACCCAACCCAACCCACGTAAAGATTGAAACCCAACCCAACCAAATGTCGGTCGGGGTTGGATAGGTTGGGTTGGAACAACCTCTCAACAAATATTAAAGTCCTAAAATACTGATTTTTTTTGTTACTGAATATCGAGCAACATTAATAGTCTTCCAATATCAATAAATTTCAAAATATAAAACAGTAAAGTCCTCCAAATATCCATCAAAATAACTATCCAATAACAATTTACGTAATGTATTACAAATTTACAATACTTAGGGAAAAAAATTACTGGGACTTGGCACGAGCAAAAATAGGTGACTTCAACCCCTGCAAAACTATTGGGAGTCTGGGACTTGGCACAAGCAAAAAAATCTGCCACTTCAGCCCCTGCAAAAATCTGTGACTTCAATTGAATCTGGCTGCAAAAATATGTGACTTTAGCTGATTCTGGCACACTGGTTACTCCTACATTGCTGGAAAGATTAAGCAGTTGAAAGAGCAAATTGCAACACTTGAAACGATTATTAATTAATAAATGAGAGAACACTTCCAGAA